GTGCAGCTTATATATAATGTTTTTAATTAGCTTTCTATGTTTCAAACAGTAACATGAGTACAGTATAATCATCTAAAGAATGGCAGGTAATGGCGTACTAGAGAGCTATTTAAAAATTGGCACATCTCTATAAATGCTGAACTTTGTATCTTCTTACCTAGAAGGTAATCTTAACGTAAGGAATAAAGCCATGGGAACAACAGCAAAAAAGGTTTACTCATACTACAGTTGTTTGATTCAGGACTCTGATTTTGGAGTGGAGAGTAGAGTTCCATAAAAAACTATGATCACACTCATTCTGATAAAACAACTTGATAAAACATATAACTTTGACTTTTGATAGTGATACCTAAATAGACTGTGTCACATTCTAGTTAGTAATCAGGAAATTGGGATTCTGCAAAAACAAATATTTGTTCTCACCTCCTGTCATGGCTGGTGCTGTAGTTGGGGGCCTGATCCTCTACCCAAACAGCCTGCTATGACTTCATTACTTTCTGCAGAAATGTTGCATGTTGCTCCCATTGAGGATAATTGTATCTTGATACATGTATCATAACACATTAAAGATGCATGCTTAGGACTGAGTATCTATTTAGGTGTTTGCAAATCGGAACATGATATACTCAAGTATATCATAGGCTCTAATAGCCAGAAAATACGGAGTTTGTTAAAGAACTTAACCAGCTGAGTATTGTAAAATTGCTCTGGCTTCTGAATATGGATAGAGCAAGAACTCTTGAATAAGGTAAGACCAGTGAAAAAAAAATCTGTTTTAAATTAAAGATTACAGGGAAGCCACTTGAAACATGTAGACACACATGCATAAACAACAGTATATAATTTCTGTAGGACAGTATTTTCTGACTATGATGATATTTCGTTAGTGCATAGGCATCTAAAAAGTTTAAAAAAAAAGTTACTTGATGACTTTAATTTTCTGATCTGGCTGCAATGCAGTAAACAAGCCAACAGCACAGATGAGAAAAAAGTGCATATAATGTTTAAATCCCTTCAGTTATACCAAACTGAAGATAATGTGGCTAATCTAGGGCATGCTGCTGGAAGTGTGCATGTGCTAAGCAATGAGGGCCGGATCCAGGAGAGGCCGTAGGTGTGGCAGTGCTCGGCTTTGCCACACCTATCTGCAGGCACCCTAACTCCGGGACTGGAATTAGGAACATCCAGTTCTTGCTCCTGGAGCTCTGTCTGTGATTCCTTATCCACTGAGTGCATCAGGTAAACCTTCCCAGGACAGACTCCTAAGCCACATTCCTATAGCATCAATTTTTCACTTGCTTGTGCTTTGTTTTATACTGAAGGTAGCTCAGATGGGCAGTTCTCTAACCACCAAGATACAGAAATGTCAGCTGCGTCACCTCCTACTGTATTAGGAGGAGTGGGCCATATGTCTCAGTTCAGAGGGATGGAGAGGGGTTTTCCAGCCCATCTCTCTGCCTATAGCCCCAAGAGTGGCCCTGTGAGAGAGGAGGCTCTCCAGTGCATTCCTCTACCCAGCTTTTCCTGCTGGGCAGCACTGGCATCTCGCCCCTCATGCCAAGCAGCATGAAATCTACCTCGAGGCTCATTCACTGCCCAGGAAACTTTGGTGCTTAATCTGGCATCACAAATTCCTTTCTGGGGCTAGGCACTGAACGCTTATGCTTGGCACTGCCAAGTAGCAAACCTTTATGAGTGGAGCCCTAAGGTCTTTTTAGCTGCAAGGAGCCCAGAAGATAGGGTTACGTTTAATGACAGCTCTCACAGTGTGTGAAGGATCCCAAAAAAACCTTTATTGCAGAACCGACTTATTGCCTGACGATTCTTTCTGAACAAATGTGTTTTTACAGAAGGGCAGTTTTACAGGAGCTGAAATGTTACAGCATTTCCTAATTTTTATAGGGGGTTTACTTGAGAGGTTTTTCAGATCCTGGCTGTGATTCTGTCATTGTAGGTGAGATTTAGAGGGAGCAAGAAAGACAGCATGAGAAAGGAAAACCTGAAGCTGTCAAGCTGAACTTAAGCATTTTGACAAGGTACATTTTCATGAAGACATTAGAAACATGGTGCTTTTTATTCCAGCATAGAACAAAACAAGGGCACATTTCGAAATCAATTTTCAATAAATTGCCGTGAACAGAATTGTTGTTTCTTGGCTACCTCAACTTATTATCTTGTGTGTTGATACCATATAGATGGTATGTTACTCCATGAGTGTGTTAGGTGGGACCCAGTGCACTCAAAGTATGCTGCAGTCTCTAGCCAGTGAGACTAGTAGACTTACCTCCCAGTTTTGCTTAATTCTTGTGCTAACTGATCTAACAGTTCCAGATTCCCATTACTTCTGCATTTAATCACAAATGCACAATTAGAAGTGTTTCTTCTGGGAACTGAGCTGATATCCTTCCCACACTTCTCTCCTGAAAAATGGCTTAAGCTGTTCAGAGGGCCCTTAGAAAACTCACTTGTAATCAGAAGTACACATCTCAGTGGTATTTCCAGCATCAGAGAGCACTGGATTTCACCCAAGAAGTAGGATATTAGGACTCTGCAGACTTTTAGCTTGAAGAATATTGAACTTGCATTTTAGGCAAGTGTCCTTCTGCCCAAAGGCCTGAGGTTAAACATCTTCCGCGCTGTTGAAGTTGGGTCACTGCATGGTCAGGAGCCCCAGAACAGGATCAGAAGAGGAGAAAATAGCTGTAGTCCTAGGTTCAGCATAAAAGTCTGAGTATTCATGTACTTCAGGGCATCCGCTCCTAGGGCGCTTGTGACCGCATGGCTGTAGATCTGTCAGAGCATGGAAGATGTCCCTCATCTTGCAGGACACGTGAGTCTGATGGATGTGCACTGGATTCTAAATCCAGTTCTCTGCCCTTAAATAGGAAACCACAGCCTCTCCCTGATCACCTTTGAATGCTTTGCATGGAGGCAGGCAGTCTTTCAGGAGTTTTGGTGCTGCTTACATGGATAAAAAGCACATTTAATTAATTTAATTTAATTTAATTTAGAGCCTTTCTTTTACCTTTAAAGATGAAGTGGAGTCTCAAAAGCTCTGAAAGGGTATGAACTTTTCAAAGAATGACTTGTAAAGAAGAAAAGAAAAATATTTTCATTTTTATATTCACAGTAGACATTTCATTGCCATTGTGTTACAACTGGATGGAACGGTGTTTGCTTACATTAAAGGCTGCATTTACAAAAATCCCCTCCTCTTCAGTTTTTATGGAGAAAATGATTTAAGGTATTTTAAAGGGCTTAAAAAAACTTTTGGCAAAATCTGTTTACTCGGGGGAAACTTCAATCACTGTATTGGAAATTTTGGCGTCCTGCCACTGCAGAAACTAAGACAAACCATAAAATTTTTATGTGGAAGTGGCTGAAAGGTGAAGAGTCAAGTCTCCAACTGCAAATTCTTGTATTTCCAGGGTCATTGCCTGTTCTGCCAATATAGGATATCGGTGATTCCGGTTTCGAAGAATGACAGAGAATTTGGCAGTCCTTCTAATGAGTCACATAGGCCATGTTTCTAAATATTCAAAAGCAGTCTATGTTCATCCAGAAAGGAAAAACAAGTGCTTGAACTGCTTCCTTTTTCAAATAGCTTTAATAGTTCTAGAATACAGAAGTAGAAAAACCGTAGTTTAAAACAGCTTTCCCCTTGGTCCTTCCTAACCATTTGTTTTGCCTGGTAATAAGTTCAGGCTTTCTTTTACCTGGAAAAAATCTGTGATGAAAGGAGAATTAACAAAATAGGTGCTACAAGACACAGAAGCCTGAAATTGGGAAACTGGATGTGAACTATGCCAAGCTTGCACTGGTTTAACTGTTTCCACTACAGGTGTGATTTCTACTGAAATAGTTTTACTGAAATAGATGCCCGTTATTACCACACCCAGTGTTTCCATGCAGCTCTCATTTAAAATAATTTAAATGCTTTTTAGTTAGGCAGGAATTGTAGGATCTTGTGGGTGTGGATAGTTTTCTATATAATTATGTGGGCCAAATATAGATAAGGAGGAGCCTGGAAAAGATTGGCATCACCAAGACCTGGAATGTGACCTTGTGCATAAGGTTTATCATTCCATTAGACTGGCCAGAGTAAGTTCCTTCAAAACTTACCCCATTCATTACCAAAATTATCATTACAACAGCCAACTTTTACAAGTAATGGTAATCATTAAATCAAAACTGCATAGCTTTGAAAGTTTTAGTAGGCTAAGGAATATTCAACCATTAAGTCCTCATTCAGAACCTTTTTTTAATTCATTTTTTTTCAGTACTTTGCAGATTTTTATGAGAGACTCCTGACACTTCTAGAATTCATATAATACAGAAAAATGAAGATAATAATATAGGCTACAGCTTATTGTCACTTTATGGAAAACGTGTTGCTTCTTGTGAAATTACTTTGGAGGTGCCTCTAAAATTAGAAGAATAATTATGTGTGTAAATGCTTCCTCATGGTGGCTGGGGAAGTGACCATGGGTGACTGGGTGCAGGTCACATGTGCAAGTTCCCCTCCCTAGCTTTGAGGCTCTAAAAGACTTCTAAAAATGAAATGAATGTACTTTTTAAACTCATTTGTGAATACATGCATGGAGGAAGGGGTGGTTATCATGATTTCTTTTTCCTCTATCTAGATGTAGTTTGCCCTAGAAAAGTGTTTGGATTGTGTTTCTGGAGGATTCCACATTACAAAACCCCAAACTTCCACAAACAAAACCCTTGCACATGATTGCTCTAGCTAGCTTAGCTAATAAATGGAATGTCTATCTGCTAAATTGTATCTCCACCAAATTAACTGAATTAACTACCCTAGCCGACATATTTGCCTTGACCTCTTGTGGCTGTCCAGTTCAGTCTTTGCAATGAAAATTAAATTGCCCCATGATTGGTGCTTGTTTACTATAGAAACTAAGGTAACAGAATCTAGAATAATCTTTTGGATTCTGTACAAATAACCATTACACTTTCTTGTGTTTGAATTTCCTTTGAAGGCTTTCATCTTTATCACAAGTTACCCTCAATTGTACCTGAAAGCTGTCTCCTTATTCTGGTTGGATTGCTTCTTGGCGGGATTATTTTTGGAGCAGAGGAGAAGTCCCCACCTGTAATGAACAGTGATGTTTTTTTCTTGTATCTTTTACCACCCATTGTACTCGATGCTGGATATTTTATGCCAACTCGTCTTTTCTTTGAGAACTTTGGTACCATATTCTGGTATGCTGTGGTGGGCACGCTCTGGAATGCCATTGGCATTGGGATTTCACTTTATGGAATCTGCCAGATCAGTGCGTTTGGTTTGACTGATATCACATTGCTGCAGAATTTGCTCTTTGGCAGCCTCATTTCAGCTGTGGATCCTGTGGCGGTGTTAGCTGTTTTTGAGAATATTCATGTCAATGAGCAGCTTTACATCCTGGTGTTTGGAGAGTCTTTGCTGAATGATGCTATAACTGTGGTAAGTTACTTGACAAATGATTAGTTGAAAAAATGATAAATGATTGTTTGCATGCCACTTCATTGTATCTCTTTGTATCTGGTTATTACAGTTTGCTAATAGAGGAAAGTCAAGGAGTGCTAACGTATTTATGTAATTCTCTAAACTTCAGATTTAGCAAGTATGACAGTCTTACTACACCAGAGTAATGTGTAATGGTAGCATATTTACTCTACAAATTTTACTACCCGATCTCTTTAGTTTCTGTATCTTTGAATTCTGTTACTTCTGTAAAGTGAAACTGGAGGTTTTCCTCACCTGCAGAAATGTCTTTGAACAAGAGAGGGAAAAGGCACAATGTGAGGTGTCCCAGCATGTTCACAGGGAGAATGGGCAACTCATTGAGATGACATAGGTTCACAGATCTGCTCATCCAGTTGGAAGTGTCCTGAGACTACCAATGCATTTCTCCCAGGCTATAGATGAGATAGGCCGGCCATCTGGAGGCAGTAATTTCTAATCATTAACTAGCTGAACTGGGTTTGTGGTGCTGACCTGAGGGCATCAATCTTCACATTCCATTAACACCCCCAATGCCCCTCATTTGTACCTGATGACAACATGTCTCAGACATTACTCTCATTTATCCATGCCTTACTTGAAATCCTGCCCATGCCAACTATGTCCTGGCATGCTTTCTGTTTTGTGAGACACGGAGGTCCAGTTTTTCATATGCCAGGAGGATCAGAAAGTTTCATTAATTGAGTCTGTACCTTCTCTGTCTCTGGCACTGGCTTCTTACTCCTGTCCCATTCTATGCACTGTTATCCTTCAGTTTTCCCCTTTTCTAGGGCTTTGCCTCACCTGCTTAACATGTGTATATCTCATCCTTTAATTTGAGCCTTTGTACTGACCATTTCTTGTTTGTCCATGGGAGTACTGTTTGTTGGGAGTACTGGTTTTTTTTTTCACTTAGGCTTCATGCTGTACCTGATTATGTTGCTATCCAGCCATCTGAATCACTTCCTCTCTTATGCGCTTGCCTTAAAGCCTAGCTTTTCTCAATAGCTTACAGCTGAAACTACCTGCTGTTACTAAACTGGTACTTAAGCCAGTCCTGAAAATCAGTGAGTGTAAATACCAAGTTTCAAAAGGCTTAGCAGTTCAGCCATGGCTGTGTCTACTTTCTCTAAATGGCCATTCCTGGGGTGGAACTCTTCATATGAATTTTTCTGGGGGAATAAGGCCTGCCTTTACGTTAATGTAAAACATTGTGGGATTTGTTTTTCGTGGGGTTTTGTTTGGGGTTTTTTTGTACTTTTGTGTCTTTTTCCAATCAAAATAACTTTTTCCCAATCAAAAAATCAGTCACCTTTCCACTGGAGCAGCAGTTAATCCAGCAAGATTTGCCAGGAAAACACTGCATCTTGATGATGGAATTATTCATGCATGCCATAACTCAATGGCAAATTACTCCAAAACACCATTTTTATAGGTGCTGGCAAAGCAATTTAATAACCATGATGAATGGCTTTCCTGTAGGTGTCATTATTGCCTTCTTTGAAGGTAGTCCTTTCTGATGGCATGCCTCCCCAGGTGCCCTAACACAGGGGAGCTACTCTGAGTCTGTAGAGCCAGTCCAGTAACGCACTGACCATACATATATTCATGAAGGAGTGAAAAGAATTTAGAGTACCTTTGGTCTTTCTTCCTAGATATCGTTTAAAAGTAACACTTGGCAGAAGGTCAAGTGGTTTCCACATGCTAAGCAGTGGTCTGCTAATGATTCCTAGTTATGATTTTGCACACCTGCGATCTTGTGATTATATTTAAAATGTGACCCAAGCTGTCACACAGATTGCCCGTAGGGTGTCCTTAAAGGACCTCGCACCCCCTGCCCATAGCAGTGCTGCCAGACCAGTCCTTGCTGCCAGTTACTCAGGTATCTGCTCAAAGGAGGTGATGTTTTGTAAATACTGTCTCTTCATTTGCCCTTGTTGTGTTACTGGGACAGCTGATAAAACCAGCTAGAAGGAAGAGTGCAGAACCTTCCAGCTTTCATCTGCTGGAGCCCTTGACTTCCACCTACCCTGGCAGGTGGCTCCCGTGGGGTGCAGAGACAGAGCAGGAGTGGGGTGGCATGCAGGAGGGCCATCCACAGGAGCTGCTTAGTGCCTACAGCCACTGCAATATCAAAAAACCCAGGGGCTGCAGAGATGGGCAGCGCGGAACAGTGTGGCTTTAGTAAACATGCTTTTGAAATACTTTAAGCCCTTCTTCCTCCTATCCTGCTTGCACTGCCTGGCTGCTCCTAATAAAAGCTTTTATTAGGATAGCAGTGACATCTGTGCTTTCTCTTTTCAGAAAATGTGCTACCACATCTGCATTTTAGATGCGAAGCGAGGTGTGCTTTCTCAGGAATCTCAGCTCTTCTGTGTTTCTCAGATGGTCTTTCACGCCTGGTAGTTTTTGTGATATGCCTGTGCGTTTGGATGATCCTTATTCCCCACCAATGGAATATTGGAACTTGAATTTGGCTGAGGACAATGCTTGCTAGTTTGCTTCTTGTACACAGTTGGTGCTTTAGCAAAAGAGTGGGTCAATGATAACTAGCACAGTGATATTAAGTGGCAAGATCATGGTTGAAGTGGAGTGTTAGCAGTTCAAATTCCAATTCTAGGCTTAAAATCACAAAGAAGGAGCCAGTGTATTACAATAATATTATTCCCATGTCAGAAAACATTACAGCAGTGCACTGTATTCTGCCTCTGCTGAAAACATTATTTTAGTGCTTTAAAGTAATTTCAAAATGAAAAACTAATATCTGAGAGCTGATGAAAATAAGCAATTCGTGTCTAGGTAGAGCAGAGATACTGTGAGACGATTAAAAAGTTGTTGGTGACTAATACTTCTTGGTGTAACCTTCAGTGAGTTCAGCTTAAGGATGTTGAGTGCAAATCTTGAACCTGAAAAAACCCCAACGTTCTCATAACAAATGCACTACAAATTGTGACCAGCATTGGTGTTAACTCACCTGAAAGTTTAGAGAGGGCTGTAAAACTGAACTGCTGTAGAATAAAAGGGAAGTGAACCTGATTTTAATCTCATTTACAGCAATGTAAATAAAGAACAATAGGAATAGATTACAGTCATGTTTGTGACATTCCATAGTCCTAGCTGCTGCTTCTATCATGGCGGTCTGGTTTTGATCTGAGGTACAAAAGAGAACATTGATTTTCTTCTTTCAAATAACTTATGGCAGCAGATTTGAGATTTATGGGGATGTCTGCATGTGGAAACAACAGGCTCCATTCTGTTTGGAGGGTTAATACTTTGCTGTGAGGTTAAGGTGATGTTATGGAAAGGCTATTGCTTGAGAAGATCAAAATGATACGCTTCTTTACAAGCAGCTCTCAGTGGCCTTATTTTGGAGACTTGCCTTTATATATATTTATATAGTTACTTTTTAAAATATATAAAAGACTATTTAAAACTCCACTTAAAGAAAATAATAATCTTCCATGGTGCATACCAAGGGAGTATTCTGCCAGGTCAAATTCTGTAGATGTGTTGAAGAACAACATAACTCTGGGGTGGTCCCAAGTTGCAGCAAGTAACTCAGGGGAACTCCTGCCATTGCAAACAATGCAGCTCAACAGTATTTTTTCTTCAGTCTGTGATTCATGGCATCCTGGGAGTCTGTGGACTGAGAGGTCCTTATGAGGTGACCAACGAAGGCACACCTGTTGCCAGTAGATTTATTTCTGGGATACATAATGCAAATCCATAAGGTCCGCAAATCCATAAGGTCCACAAATCCAAACAAAGTGGAAAAACAGTATAGCCTATGACTTTACTTTCCTGTCCTGCACAGGGTATAATAAGAGGGAACAGGGCAAAAAGGCTGGGAGTCTGCCTCAAAGCAGAAAGATGAAGGGGTTTATCCAGGTGAAAAAGGACACTATGTCCTGAGGGCATCATTGTTATCAATTAAATAGTTCATGCTCCTGCTCTTGTCCTGTTTGTTGCTTTGTAATGGAAATGACTGGTGACTATGCTAGGTTTGATTTAACCTTTTTCCATGCTTGCTCTGGAGTATATTTTTTCTTTTCTTTTTCAGTTCTTTCTTTTTACTTAGCCCAAAGGACCCATAATTGGCCATGTCTTTGCAGTAGTCCATAATGAGAACGTTTCCCTCTGTAAGACCAGTTTTGGCCAAGAGCCAAACAACTTATTTTCTGTCACGTGAGAGAGAACAAGACTGCAAACATGACAAATCCTTCCCAGCACCTATTTAAACATGTACATTGTTGACATAATGCAAGTGCTGATAAAACATTTTTCTCTTAAATACCATTTCTGATAGAGAAACTTACTAGGTTTACTAAGAATTCCAGAAAAAAGAGGAGATTTAACTCCTGCAAACTGTCCAAGATGTTTGAAGTGTTTATTATGACCACAGTGTCTTAGCCTGTGAGCCCACTGTAACATGAACAAGTGCCTACAACCAAGCTTAAATCTGTACAAGTGAACTATGGAGTAATCACAGTATCTCATGGCTGAGAGCATACATGCAGCACCAGGCAATGCTTAAATTTCCCAAATAAGTCTGCAGATGGGGAGACCCTTTAAGGTTTCTTTAAGAGTAACTGATGCCATTGTTGTCTGTTTTGTAGTAACTGAAATACTTGGTATTAGAGAAATGTGACTTCACATTGTTCTGTTTCCTGTGTAAACCATAAGGACTGTCTGGCTGAGAAAATGTGGTAATCCCATTGACTCTCATTTGGAGGATAGTTACAAACACTTTGAAAATTAAACAGGGTAACAGGCCTTTTAATAGGAACTAAATCCCCACCTCTAGAAATAATCTAAAGTTTGAAAAGTCTTTAAACCACTGGATTCCTAATGCTTAGTTAGGAAGTAGTTAATTAATAAGAAATTGATTAGTCAGAGAAAGAGTACTTAATGGATGCCATATTTCATGTTTCATGTTTCTTTTAGTCCTTGGGGTGGTCAGTGTCCATCCCCTCTCCACCCCACCCCATGCCGGATGAATCTGTATGGTCCAGTTAAGTTCTGCAGCTCTTGGTGTCTTATGTGGATCAAAATAATTTGAAAAGAACCTGGTTTTTCACGGATTATGAAACTGCATTTTTCCCTCTCTCTTTTTTTGTTTTGTTTTGTTTTGATTGGTTGGTTGTTTTTGTTATTTTAATCTGGGGAAAATCTGAAATGGTCATTTGTGGAGAAATTAGAAGCTCTGCAAATAAATGAATTTAAAGAAAGATTAGATAGATCTATGCTCCTGGACTGAAGAATGGCATGGGTTAAGAAACCCATTTGCAAAAATGGGAATAATATATTTACCCTTCTTCGCATATCTCCCTGATTTTTGTGGTGGACAAGTAATATGCCAGAGGTAAACAACACCCTATCTTAAAAGTCAGTTCGGGGTAGGTAGAAAAATTCAAAATTCAACATTGAAGCAGAGGAACGTAAAAGCATGAAGGGAACATAAGAGTTCAGAAACATAATGTGCTTTCTTTTTCCTCATAGGTCCTGTACAATTTGTTCAAGTCTTTCTGCCAGATGCACACAATTAAGGTTATTGACATATTCGCTGGGATTGCTAACTTCTTTATAGTGGGGATCGGTGGAGTATTGATTGGAATCCTTTTGGGATTTGTAGCAGCCTTTACCACCCGTTTCACCCATAAAATCCGAGTGATTGAGCCACTCTTTGTCTTCCTGTACAGTTACTTGTCATACATAACAGCTGAAATGTTTCATCTCTCAGGCATCATGGCGTAAGTACCCCAACCTTTAGTACTAATAGCACCCAAGTAAGAATGACAGAGGAAATTGCAGAGTGGTCCAGGTTTTGCAAACTTTGCCATATGGCATCTTTCCATCATGCATAGCAGTGATGCTGGCTTGAGGATTTCTGGCCTCTCCCCTCCCGCTTCCATCCCATTCTCCCAGCTTGCCACCACACCAGCTGTGTCATTAAAACTGGTCATGGCATCACCATAAACCATATCTTTGAAATGCTCCAAGTTAAAAATAATCCCTTGTATTTTCAGTGGGATTACTCTTAAATCAGTTTGGTGACCTGTGTCCTCATGTGACCCTACAACTAGTCATAAGGGCATGGCTGATGGGTAGCCCACAGTGATGTAGGGGCAGCCATGACAGGGAGGGAGTGGGAGTGGTAGCTGGGAACTTTGTGAACTGGCTTCACTTCTGATGCCAATATATTGTGAAACTATGTCTTAACACTTAGTCATGTGAGCTTCCAGTAAGTACCATTCAATGAAGACAATGTATATATCATTAAGGCAAACTTCTGCTGGATTATAAACACAGTAAGGATTGAGTGAATGTAAAATTTCCAGAGTCTAGTCCTATGGTGATGTAACAGTTTAGTTTAGTATATTGGTGTGCGTGCCTGTGTGTTACAATGCTCTCTGTATGCATAATTATGTATAAAATAATATTATTCTTCCCACTTCCAACAGATGAAAATATTTTCACTCCTGTTTTTTCACTCCTGGGCTTCAGTCAAGAGAGAGCACAGCCTCTCACTTGATGCTGTTTATACTGTAACAACCTCAACTTTAGAAAGAGCCCTTATGACATTTGATATACTTAAATGGTTTGCTCTGGTTCCAAGTAATATTTTTAAAGGCCAACCTTCTTTAAGGACTTTGTATTGTTCTAGTGGCAAATATGAGTCATTCAAGCATTAGGAGCATAGCTTTTTATGAAAACTCAGATGTTACTTCTGAGTATCACTAATACTGATAATATCTTATTTGATTATTATCTTTTAGGAAAGTGAAGACAGGTTTGGTATCACACACATGCGAGTATAACATTTTCTGGGGCTGGGAAGCAATTTATATGGGCATTTACAGCTGATGTTTTCAGTGGTATAAAAATAGAGCTATGCCATGAAATGAGAGGGGTTAGTACTTCAATATAAGTAAAGAGCTAAAGATTGCATGGGTTCCTTTCTCTGATATAAGCCTAAATAAAGCAACATGTGCATCCACTTTGACCGAGTTCATAAGTGTGCCATCT